AATGTTTTAGTCATAGATTAAAATTATTGATTCAATAAAGTATTAGCATGATTGCTGAAAAAAAAAAAAAAAAAAAATGATATTTTTGTGATGATAGTAATTTGAAATTTCAAAGATTTAGATTTTATTTTTTTTTTTAATTCAGCAGTCATGCCATAACTTTATTTAGATTTGTTTTCCATTTGAAAACAATATTACTTAGCTATATACTATCTAATATCTAATTTTTTAAGTTACAACTCATCTAGTTATACTATAGATACCTATGTACGATCTGCTATAGTGACCTTTGTCCTATATTAGAGCAGTTTATAAAATATAAGCTACCCTCAACATATGAAGGACACCATAGCCTATCATGACTAATTTTAAATCTAACTAGCTATTATTCCTTCCTTTACTTCCTTAACTATGCTATCTAATACTATTTTAAGACTATAATTACAATTTTCTATATTTCTATCTACTTTGACCTTTGTTTTTTTCCTAGCGGATACTTTTTTCTAGTTCTTCTTTCCTTCCTTTTTTTGTAAGTATTTTTCTTTTTTTGAGATTTTTTCTTTTTTCTCTTATGCCTCTATGTCTTTGTATCGATTTTTCTATATCTCTTTATATATGAGTTCTATTCAAATATACCAGAAGAGGTTTTAAAATTTAATCATCATTCTTTCAGAGCCTATGATATTTTTGATTTTTTCTGCATCTTTTTTACTAAGGATATCTCTCATCTATTCTTTCTTTTTCTGATACTTTTCTTCCTATTCATAATAAATAGCTTGTTATATACTTGTTAAATTCTAATCCTCTTCTTTTCTTTTGTCTTTATTGAGCTATTTTCATGTTTCTTCTTTAATTCTTTAGTATGCTAGATACATTTTTTTACATGAGATAATGTGTTCGATCATTTCCTTTTCCTTAGCATATCTTTTGCATAAGCTATTTTTGTATAATTATAGTTTTCTACAGTTTAAGGCTTCAACTATTAGAAGGAGATTTTCAATGTATTTGATTTTGAATAGTTGTAGGCAGTTTACTTCTGAGTTTTTGTATTGCATATGACAGCTTTCAAGGATACTTTTAAATACTTTCTAGTTTTGTTTTTGAATCCTTGCTTGATGTTTCTTGTCATTTTTCTTTCTTAACTATATCTACTCTGCTTTGTATGTTATTTGAACTACCTTTTTAATGAAGGCTCTCAATAGAGTTTCAAGACTTAGGCCTTTTCATTCCAGGATATATTTTATACTCTTGTTACTTATATTACTTAGTTCTATACTCTGTGTCTCATATATCTTTTCTTTTGCAAGTGTATCTGCTATATAATTATATATATTACTTGAATAACTTTTGATTTTAGTAAATACTAATTATACTAATTTACTCTTATAGGTCTTCTTAATTGCACACAGAATATTGTTGTTCTTGGTTTTTAACCACTTACATAACTTCCTATTTTTGAGACAATTTTCAATTACAAGAATTACATATATGCTATCTGTTCTTATTTCTACTTTACAACTATTAGGAACTAATAACACTGCTACTAGACAAGCTACCAGCTCTGCATGAGTAGATGAGAACTAATTTTCTATTTTTTCTTTGTACCTAAAGACTATATTATTTGCACTATCTATTTGAACTATACTATATCCTATCCTTATTCTATCCTAAGTATTCTCTCTACTGAGTAAGTCATCTGTATAAAATACTATTTCTTCTATTTCTTTGTTTGCCTCAGATTTAGATTTTATATAATTATATATTTAAATAAACAATTATATATATTGTTTAAGCTGATTTTTTGTAATTTCACATGATATTATAATCTGCAGATATCATATTTTATAAACAATATCTTGAACCTAATAATTCTAAAATAATAGATTTTAGAGTATTAGAATATCATATAAGGTTTTAACATTTATTATCTTAATTCATCAGTTTTAGAATTTAGATTTATTAGGTCAATTATCAGAATATTCAAATAATTTTTAGATATTTAGATATTGATTTTAACTGATAGTCAGAATATCAGATAGTACCTATACTATTTAGATATTATTCAAATAATATCTGAATAATATTTGTTTGCAGCATATATTGGATAGCATTAAGAATAGCTCAAATAGTGTTAGGTAGTATTAAACATAAGCTGAGTAGTTTGTATAATATTAAGAGATTCTAAAACAAATATACAGATACCAAAATCAACAACTATAAGTATGAGTTTGGTAATCTTTGTGTAGTGGTTAAGTTGTCAGACTGCTATATAAGAGGTCTGGAGTTCAAATCCTACTGTCAACGAATTTGAATAATTACTTAGACCTTTGTACCTAACTTACGTTAAACTTTATCTATTTCTGGAGTTGTAACTCTATAAATCATATTATACCAATATCAATTGAATATTAGAAGTGTGACATAATACTCAGAGAGATATAATATTATACAAATAAATCTTGATAGGATTTATAGACAGAGGACCTGCATGATAGAAATTCCAAGTTTAGTAAAGTAGTACAAATTTCAATAGTTATACTGATTAACACTTAATTCAGTAGTATGAAAAATGCAGATTGAGTAGGTGCGAGTAAGTCCATTTCACAAGAAAAAATGGCAATACCAACTTGGCTTAGTGGCTAACTAGATTTGGAAGGATCTCCTCATGAAATATTTAAAGACTATTAGTGGAAAGCTACAGTAGAAACTAAGTTTATACGAACATCGACAAGGGTACAAATTCCTGAATAGACTATAAAATAGGTACAGAATGTTCTGAGGTAGAGGCCTAGTTCATGAGTAAAGTAGCCTATAGTTCTGTATATGCCATATATTTAAGTTAGTATTACAGAAAAAGTATTAAAAATCAGAAGGCTTAATTAGAAGATCCACAAGCGAATCTTAGGTATAGTAGTTAGTAGATAACCTTTAGATAGAATCTTTAAATAAACAATGACTAAAATTATATGTGTGACTAATTGTGGCCTCATTGATATGCAAAATGTAGTACCTCTCTATCTAAATATAGGTTGTAAGTCTTAAATAAATAAATACTGGGATATAGAACTCTCTCTTTAAACAGTAAAAAAAACTATAAGTATAAAATTTAATAAAAAAACAATATACTTTATATTTAACAAATATATAGTTATCAAGAAATCAAGAAAATTAAATACAACAATCTTAAATATTTACAATAACATATGAAATAAAAATATTTTTAAAATAACTTAAAATAAGTGAAAGTTTATTATAATTAAAATGATTATATACTTAGAATTAATTCTAATTCAAGAATCAATTCAAAAATATGTAAACATTTCTAGAAATGATTATAACAATTATACAAAAATAAAAATTAATTCTAATTATTCTTATCTCTATATTAGAAGAATAATATGATACAAGGACGTATTTAAGATCTGTATAATCTATCCCTTGAAAGCATCATTTATTTTATTATGATATAATCTACTGTAAAAAGAAATAATAATAAAATTAGAAATAAAATAAGCTAAATACAGAATCTGTTCTTATAGACAAAAAAAAATATATTTTTCTTCTAGATTATTTGAAATACTCTCATATAAGACCTACAAATTTACTACAAATCAGTTACTTTGAAATCTTATAGTAGCAATTGTGAAAAGACAATAAAGTTAAAGATGCAATTTTTTCTGCTAAGATCAATTTCTACATATATTTGCTTTATGAACATTTTGTAAATTAAAACTTAATTAATAAAAAATAGAAATTTTGATATCACAACTTTAAGATACTAATTTACTACAAACTTTTTAGTAGTAAAATAATTCTTTGTAAAATATTTTTTATATAGTATTAATATGCAAGAAAGTAGTTATAGATATCTATACCCAGAATATATAACTGTTATGTATATATTAGAATTCTTTTAAACCTAGCTTCTGTTTTAATGAACTCTAGCTATAAACATAGAATATAACAAACAGATACACATTAGAGTTTTTTTAAACTTAGCTTCTATTTCAACAAACTCTAGCTATAAATATAGAATACAACAAACAGATATACATTAGGTCTTTTTAAACTCAGCTTCTGTTTCGTAGAACTCTAGCTATAAATATATTCTATAGTTAGACTACAGAGATACATATTTGAGATAGTATTATATTTTTGTTTTGTTCTATTAATCTGATAGTAGTAAGAGTATTATCAGTAGTAATATTGTTTATATATAACAAAACTACTGAAGAGATTAAAGATAGCTTTATAAATAATCAAGAGTAGATATATATAGTATAATATTAAGATCAGATTAAGACATTAACTATATGTATGATAAAAATACTGTTATCAATATCTAAAAGATAACAAAAATGATAAAGACGATAAAAGATGAAAGAAAAAGAGAAATTAGAAATAGTACATTAGCTTTCTTTGCATTAGTACTTACTATATTCATATTGTATATAAAACTACATCTAAGCTTAGTACTTTTATTATTAATTAAAAGCCTCCAACAAGAAGAAGAAAATAACAAACATGAAATAGCTTGAGTTCATAAAGCAGGACAATTTAAAATATCGATGAGAAAATAAAAATAAAAATCTAAAAGATGAAATTGATCAAGAGATTAATAGTAAAATAATGAGTTTATTATTAAATTAAAGAGATAAAGTAGTTAATCATAATTAATTATAAGCTATGAAAACTTTTTATTAATCACAAAAATGTTACTTCTCTAGGAAGAACTTTCATTGAGAAAATATCAGGATAAAATAAATATTAAGAAAACTACAACTCTTCTGATGAAAAAGATAAAGATGATAGAGGTAAGACTATGAATAATTTTTAATGTTACTCTAGTTATACTAATATGCTTTGTGAATATCCTTAGAACAAAGTGATTACTAAACAAATGCAATTAGAATTAGAATCAGAAACTGTTGTATATGAAATGTTGTTAGATAATACTTTCTTCAGTTTTATTTATAGCAAATAAACATTTTTTGTATAGGTTGTAGTTGAAAAAAAAATAAAGCAGAAAAGAATTGATCAACTTTTTGACAAAATGAAAAAGCATAATATATATATATTAGTTTGTCATTATCTCAAGCAGATATAGAGGAGCTATTTGAAAGAATATCTCAAAACATTGTTGTTAAAATTGATCTTTCAAATTTTATCAAAAAATATTTACAAGATTTACTTGACAAGGATATCAAAAGTGTGTTTCTAAAAGTAAGAAATCTACCTAGCAAGGATACAAAACCTCTACTTTTATAAACAAGTAAAATATACTACTATTTTATTTTTTATTACTATTACAGAGGTTTATAAAGAAAGAGTGATAAAAAGACTTGGTCCTGCTAAATCATTTATTGAATTCTTAACTTATTTTTACTGTTCTTTGAAGAATTAATATCAGAAGTTTTCTAGTAAGTTTTATAATTTTCTCTCATACTTCTAATATAAATTAATATTATTCTTGTTTTTAGCAATAAAATCACTAATAAAGTATATAAAGATCAGATTTATAATATAAATATAGATCAATGATCTTCAAGTTCTAATAGAGGAGATAAAAATGATATAGTTATATATTAGAATCAAAATGCTATAATCATTTATGAACAATCTTTTGGTTCAGCAGAATTTGATGAGATATACTATTTGGAAGATATAACTAAATTGGCAAGGAATAGTGTGGATAACCTCAACTTTTATTTTATTTAGTATAGTAATTCGTTAATAATGATAGCAAAAAATTTTAAGTCTATCAGTATTTACAGATATAGTAGGTATTTATATTATGTTTTGTAAGAATAGTTTGCTTTAATAAACTTATATGTTTTTTATATTTTAGAATATTTTATATCAATCTATATTACAGATCTTGTTAGAGCTAAAACTTATAGAATATACAAAGTATTTAAATGCAAGTTTCTAACAACATACACAAAGCAGTGGTTACTTAAAAAAATTGCAAATTTTAGCATTTATCTAAAGAAACTACTTACAGAATATCAATTTATAAAAGCAAAAATATATAAAGAAGATGCTAGGATAAAAAATAGTCAAAGTTGTATATTCGATTAGATAACAATACCAGATAATACTTCTGATAAAAAGAATAAAATATCAGTAAAAAAATAAAATTGCTTTTAATTTTACTTTATAAATATATTTAAAGTTTTTTATATAATATAATTTCACAATTGTTTGTTCAAGATTAATGACAAGATGATTTCTAATAAAATATTTACTCATAATTTTTTAATTGCATCAACAAAAAAATTTTTCTTCCTGAAACAGAATATGTATATATAAGACTATTAGTCCTATTTTAAGACAAAATTATTTATTGATTTGCTTATATAGTACTTTAAACTTTATATAGTGTAGTATAAATTGTGATAACTAGTCATGACTGTACATTTACAATGAGCTTGTATTTTATTTTCTAATTTTTTCTTGACTAAAACTGTTACTATTGATAATGATTATAGTATTAGCAAAATTTTTTGCTTTATTAAGTCTATCATATAACATCATGAGTTTCTAGTTCTACAGTGTAAGACTTATATTCTCTAGGTCTGCAGTTCTCTAATTTCTTATAACTCACTAGCTAAATCATCCTTTTATTTTGGTCTTTAATCTGAGTTTTCTCAATATTAACATTATTTGTTAACAGATTATGCCTTATCTGGTCATCTCTGATGCTGTAGTTATATTAGCAAACTGCTTTTGTATATATAGATTTTGTTCTTTTCTAAACCGAAAAGTTTTTCAAAGATCTTTTTCAATTGTGATCCTGGCAAAGCTTTGTCACCTAGTTAGATACAAACCTGTAACCTTGTAATTGTAATCTAGAAATGCTAACTACTATATTATCAAATCATAGGTTAAGGGCTCATTTTTATATTTTTAAAAAAAATATGTTTTTATTAGATTCATAAATATTTTGATATAATTAACATTTTTCAATTATAAATAAAAGTCAATTTGCATAATGAAAAATAGAGATAATATAGAAGAAAAATTATACAAGGCCAAGCACATCACGAGATTACCTGATAGTCATTTGTTACTTTTAATCAAACATAGAGTAGGTAATATAGTGATGATCACTAATTAAGATTTTTTATAGTGAAATGTTTTTGATTAGTGATCTAGAATAAACAATTAAAAAAAAATTGAATTTATTTTGCCTTTAATTCCAACAGTAATATTTAATATTTTATGATTCTATAAAAGCAAGATATTTAATAAAGGTTATCTTTCTAAAGTACTGAAGTAATAATATTAGAATTTTATTTATCTTTTAAATTTGTCTTGTAAACATGACCATATTAAATAAGCTATGATTACTAGATTTGATTTAATCTACCAAAAAGTATCCATTCAATTATTCTGCGGTAATATTCCGAATTTATTTGTGCATCTTTTATAAATTTGTCTATTTTAGCATTTCTACTATTACATTTTTGACTTATATAAGGGTTACACGAATGGCAAAATTAGTTAGGATAGAAAGTTTCTATATGTAAAATTCCTTCCACGTCATTTTAATTAGTGCTCCAAAGTCGATTTAAACATTAGTTTTCGAGTATTTTCGCAGCTTTTGTGTTTTTCTTCGTTTTTCGCACGTGATTAGCTGGTTTGGATCGACAAAATTTACGCACTCCGATTGGCCATTTCCTTTTTAGGAGTTTGTATTACTCGTGCAGTCCCGTAATTGGACACTATAACGCTTCCTTTATCAGTTCTGCAGTTCATAATGCGAAGTGATGGAATATCACGTGATCGAAAAAAGGAGCAGCAACACGACCTTACACGCCTCACAGATAACACTTAAGCCGGAAGAAAGCCTGTAGACGAAAAGTGGTCGGGCGTGTGAATATCAGGTACGAATGCAAGCACATGTTGTTGACATATGACAAGCGAAAAAGGTAAGTAATAGCGGGCGCTAGAATGGAAACGGGTAAATATAAGTACCGGATGAGAAGAATTCGAGCCCTCAGCGCTCTATCAGAAAAAATCTCTCCCAACCCAACCCCCCAAAAAAGAGAAGAAAGGAAAAGAAGAAAGGAAACACGTGATTCCATCATTTCTTGCTTGCATCATTTCTTCGCTTGCAGCCGGCTTGCTTAAGCAGGCAGGGAATGGCCCCACCGGCTAATCCTTAGTGCAATTCAAAAGCAAAAAAAAAAGTTGTGTAATGCGATTGCTTTTCGTTCAGACTAATCGCGGCAGCATTGGTCAAGTTTGATTTCATTGGCTAATCGGCATGAATTCTGATTGGCTAATATTAAAAGATTGACTTTCGATACCCCTTTATAATTTCGATCATCTTTAACTTGCTCACGTGAAGTTCAAAACTTCATTTAATTGAAAGAGATTTAATATTTATTCACATGACAACATTATTCGAAGTGAAGCGGCGCCAACGGATCCCTTTTCCTAGTTAATAAAAAATTACATCATTTCTCACTTTAAAAAATATGCATCGTAGATTTTGAAAATTGCTGATACTAAACTTAACTAATCAGTGCGGTCATTTCAGCTTCAGCCATCAACCATCAAATAATCAATGTTTTAAACTATCCCTAGACCCGGGTTAAAAGAAATTCCGTATAAAGATTACTAATCGTAAGTTAGAAGAAGATTACTAAAAATAAATAAGGCTTATTAATAATACCGATGCATTAGTGGTAGAAGGAAAGCAAAGCAAATTCTAAATAAATTTTAATTAAAAATGACGGGAATATAGCTTTACATAATAAGCAATTTTATTTTTTCTATGATTTCTTACCATAACGCGTTTAGTTGTAATACGCGCAGCAATACTTTAAATTGTCTATATAAGATCGTATTTATTCTACATATCGAAATAAATTTTTTTACTTAGTCAAAATGTCACGTCTTCGAGAACTTGGTAAAACTGGTGTTAAAATCCCAGCTATTGGACTTGGGTGTATGGTATAAAATTCAAGCTATATACTTATTTTAACGTACATAGCGAATAACTAAATAGATATGATTTATTTTAATTAAGGGAATGAGTGACTTTTATGGACCAGCTGATGAGGCAGAAAATTTAAAAGTATTAAACCACGCAATCGACATAAAATGTGTCTTTTGGGATACAGCAGTAGGTGTAATTTTAACCATTCTGCATGGTTAGAGCAATGACAGATATTACCTAATATCCATTTGTTTCAATGTCAAGAGACCATGGACTATATTCCATCTAAATATAGCACGTATATTTACTGAATTCAATATGTTATGTTAAACAAATTTAATAATGTTAATTACCTGAACAGCAGCAATTGGATGTATTTGATAAGCACGTCGAAGCGTATTGGCAGAACATTCAGAAAGCCCAAGATATTTAACTTTACCCTTTTTAACAAGTTCAGCCATTGCTTTAACAGTATCTTCAATTGGTCTATATATTAGGGGTCATTTATTGTTATTATTATTATTATAAATAATTTAGTTATTACAATATAAAAATCTTATTTACACATTGGGGTCAACACGATGTTGATAATAAATATAAATACAATCAATGCCTAATCTTTGTAAACTTTTTTCGCATGCATTGTGAACATGTTCTGGCGTTCCATTTACTCCTAAAAATTCACCATTTTCTCCACGAACAATATCAAATTTTGTACCAATAAAAATTTCATTACGTCGATTTTTCTGAAACTTTGAAAGTAATTTTTAATTTTCACCACATCCATACATGTCCTTGATTATTATTGTGAAAAAAAATTTTCATGATTTTATATTAAGGCCATATAAAATTATATAATTGGTTTTCATATCACGGAATGGTAATCCGTGACGCGGGCGCACGGCTTTTTTTTTTTTTTATGAAAAAAATTTTTTAATTAAAATAATAGTAAAAAAAAATGTCTGAATCATAAAAAGGTAATGTCTGAAAATATGTAGGTGAAATAGTCTGTTGGGAGATGTGGTAGAACTAACTTTCGAGGAATCATACCGTAACCTTAGATATGTTTCAAGCTAATTTTACTTAATATAGCTGATAAATAGTTAAAGCTAACTTTTAACTGAATTAAAAACTTGTAATAAATAAATGATTAAACCAATTTTTTTTTTATTAAATATGATATAATAATGCTGATACTTATTCATGAGAGACAAATGAATTTGCCTACCTTTGCTAATCCGTGAATAAGCCAGAGTGTCTACTTAGATTCAAGCACTAAACCATATACTTACGTTCTTAGCATGAAGAATTCTATTGGTTAACTATATATAAAAAAAAAAAAATTTACAAACACTACTTCACTAACACGAGCAGAATATAAAAACTAATTATATAATTTTGCGTGGCCTAATATGTAATTATATTTTTTCCTTTTTTTTTCCATTTCTACTGCTAATTTCATATTTCAATGAAAGTTAGATCTATGAAGAGAAAGTATTAGTTGTTGTTGAGAAGAAAAGAAATTAATCACAGGACAAAAAAAAGAGAATTTGTAAATTTATTTACTGTTAAACGAAGATGAGCTGCAGAAAAAAGATGAAATTCAAAAATTATTTAAAGTCATGAACATCTAAGCCTAAAAAATATAAAACATTAGTAAGACAAAAATCTAAATATAAGACAAAAAGAAATAAAAAACCAGCTAACTCATAATAGTCCTTGCAGATTTACTGACCTTTAATATTGAAAAGAAATTTTAGAATCAGCATATCAAAGAAATAATTAGGTAAAAGCAAGGAATTAATAAAGACAAAGTAAGACATAAAAAATATTTACCGTAGAGTATATTTGACATAAATCTAAAATATCTGATTTGTATCTGAAGTTACTATGTAAAGAGGAAAATACATTTCAAGAAGGTATTTTATAATTTTGCAAGTGTAGCAGTAGGTATACGAATGCAAGTACAAGCTCAAATTATGAGAACATGAAAAAATGCTATTGTTTCATAACTTGCAAATATGCAAATGATAAATCTTTGTAGTACCTATCACATAGCCATAATTATAATTATCCTGTATTAGGTATTTGAGAATTTATGCTAATGTAGGGATGTTAATTGGTCTTACAGTAATTATTAACTGACTTTAAGCAAAGTTTATGCAAAATTAGAATTTTTAATTAATTTTCATCTGATAAGTAAAGTTATAGAAAGGTTATTTCTCTATAACAGTATCTAATAGAAGTTTATCAGTTTTTGTATTGGTTTCTGAGTTATTTAGATAGGACCAGTTAGAGACTGATCAATAAAATTCTTTCTATACTGCTTAGTCTCTAATCAGTCCTATCTAAATTGCTCAAAAATTAATACAAAAACCAATAAACTTCTATTAGTAACTGTTATAAGGAAATAAATTTTCTATAACTTTACTTATTAGACAAAAATTAGTTAAAAATATCAATTTTGCATAAATCTTGTTTAAAGTTAGCTGATAATTACTGTAGTATATTTTGGTTATGATATGATATTAGCCAATTATTAGTTGAGATTTAGTTAATTAATAATACAAAATCTAAGCTAAGAATTTAAAACTATATTGTTTTAAAAATTTTTTAATAATCTTAAAAAAAATTTTAACAAAATTACAAAACATATATTGAATTTTATTTTTTATATAAGAAAGTATACTATAAAATAAATATTTTATATATTATTAAAAAATTAAATTAATTTTTTAAATTTGCAGGCAAATTTGCCTGCAATACAATTTAAAGAATATATATAAATACAGTAATAGAAAATTTAAATTAGATCTACTAAGAAATTAATTGCTTCCACAATCAATTATTTAGTAAGTCTGCTTTAAATATAACTCTAATCTAACTATAAATAGTAAATATAATATATAAATAGTAAATTAAAAAAAGGATAAATTAAAATAGAAAATAAATCAAAAAACTCTTCTTGCTGATCATCTAAACTATTATGAAGCAAATATTTTTTAAATACAAAATAATTTATAACTATAGGAAATCTAGCAAAATAGTAGTTATTAAATAGAAGTACAAGTTGTATAGCCTAGTATACTTTATATAAGAAGTAGAAAGATCTAGTAGGTGATAATACTATTATTTTAACTAAAAGTTGACTTTATGATATTTTAAAAAAAGAAGAAGAAGAGAAGTAGTAGAAAGGAAGAAGAAACAACAAATAGTATTTTGCATTAGAGCAAATACTTCAACACTTTTTTTCTTTGTAACTAGTTTTTGTAAACAACCTCTCTTATCTTTTGACTAACAAAACTAATACGATGACTATAACTTTTTTTATTTTGAAAAAAGTAGAGATTCTGGCTCACTCCTAACAAAGGATCAGCACTCATATCACTTTTTATTTTGAGCAAATTATGTTTTGATTGTTTATAAGTCAATTAACATATATGAAGCCAACATAAATCTGCTTATATAAATAGAATAACAGCTAATGAGAAGTTATACTCAAGATTTATAGTATATATATTAGTACGATAAATAATTTTTATTTTTTATATCTTAGCATGAGCTATAATAGTGTGTTCTATCATAATTATCTTTTTTTCTACCTTCTTTTTCTTCTTCCATTATCTTTTTGTACTTTCTTTTTTTCATATAAGTAGCTTTTTTCTCACATTTTGTTATTTTTCCTTTATTTTTCTTGTTATTTGTTTTTTTTTATTAGTTAGTTAGAATATAAATCTTTTGGTTTAAGAAGCTAGAAGAAAAAGGTTAGAGAATTAGATAATCTTGATAAAAACAATATATTGTAACCTTCTGTTAATCAATTGAATATGACTTTGCTTAGGCAAACTATTCTTCTAAGAAGAAAATTTGACTATTACAGTTAGATCATACCTGAGTACTATTTGGTAGCTGAGTGAGTTTGGAATTGAATAGAGAGAACATTTATGTAGCTAGCTTAGTTTAGTTTATATTTATATTATAATATTATGATTATGTTTTCTCTCAATAAATAAAAGGCAAAATTATCTAAGTTCTAAAAAAAAAAATAGAAAATAAATTCAACTTTTACTATTCAGTATTGTCTAGAGATGAGTAAGGTAATAAAGTAAGTATAATTATTTATTTTTTTATTCAGTACTTAAACTTATATTTTCTTTTTTTTTTATTTTTCAACAAGCTATTCGTAGATTTTTATTAAGTATTATTTTTAAATTATATTTGTTAGTAAAGATACAATTAGCTACAAGTACAACTTTAGTCATTGTTTATTTACAAGTTCTGCTATATAGATTACCTACTAATTACTATACTTGTATCTGCCTATAGATACTTTATTTAAACCTTTTGGCATCACTATGAAACTCTATATTTAACCTAATATTTTATATCTATACTAATCTTATACTGCCTCATTTTGAGGACTACTCAAACCAACTTGTACTTCAAATTGTCTTTATAGGACTAAGCTCTATTACAAGATACCCAATATATTCTATTCTAGTGAGAGCTTACAGATACAGTCATCCCCCTCTATAATCATACAAATGGTTACACACAAATATGGTGATTATAGAGAGGTGTGATTGTATATGGGGTAGCTAAATTTTTATCCGTGCTATCACATGACATTTAACCAATCAGCGTCGTTTTTCTTAATCAACTAAAAAGTGAAAAAACTTCGTAAGTAAATATTAAAGTTATCACTTATTACATTAAATGATGTAATAAATCCGTTACAATGATAAATTTTAATATTCGCTTAAC